GTTCCAGCATAACTGTGCCATTGTGCACAAAGCCAGGTCTATACAGACAGGTTTTGAATTGTTTGGTGTCTATACAGACAGGTTTTGAATTGTTTGGTGTGGAGGAATTCAAGCAGCTTGCACAGAGCCCTAATATCAACTCTACTGAAGACCTTTAGAATGAATTAGGAAGTAAACTGTGAGTCAAGTCTTCTCAACCAACATCGGTACTTTATCTGACTTTATAAACATTCTTTTGGCTGAGTGGGCACAATTTCCCAAGGGAGTAGGGGTATCTCCAAATGAATGCCTATGTTCTGGAATGTCTAACAACTCATTTTCTGTTGGTGTGATGGTCAAGTATTCACACACCTTGGCTATATGGTGTAAAATTGGGATGCAGTTCATTGACACTGGCCTGGTGCAGGTGTATACTGTACAACAAGACCAATGCAGGTCTCTACACTTATTCACAGATGTGTAGTCTTGAATCTGGATCAGTGCCATGTGCTCTATAAGCCATCCCTCTGACATCTGGGAAATAATAGGATACTTATCATTGGTACATAAAATGATGGGCAATCCTTAGTATTTTTTAAATCAAAACCTAGCATTACTTGTGAACTGAGCATACACCAATTACGTTCAGTGCACAGTTGTCCTTAAGTAATAACACACAATTGTCTGTGAGTGGTGCTGAAGTCTGTTGAATAGACACAGCTCATACTTGTAGTCTACAGCCCACAGTGGGAGCGCTATGCTAGACTGACAATGCTGCTTGCATAAGCAGCATCTCGGGAGCATTGCCACTTAGGGCAAGAAGTGGAGCTATAGGTAATTGCAACAAACAAAACAAGTGGTAGGTAAACAAAAATGTAAAGTATTAGACTTAAATACACTTATATCCCTGGTTCACATCTGTTCGGTTATGCGGGCCGCGATTTGAATGGACTCCTGTGCCCCAGGACACGCAGGGAAGAAGTCTCTGCACTACTTTGGAAACCGAGGTTCCCAGTATGGTTGCAATTTCCAGTGTGGGTGGCTTGCCATTAGAATTAATTAAACAAACAAGATATACCTGCACTCAAATCCTAATATCTAGTACATGCATTTATCCATCAGGTGCTAAAAGGGTGTAACCACATATTAACACTAGAAATTCTGAAGGACCCTCTGCACACTGATATATACCCTTTCCAGCAGACTGTGGAATAAAGAATAGGGATATTTGCTTCATACATATTGCAATACATGTTTAAGCTGGCCAACTGTGTCAAAGTAATCCTTCTATGGCCAGTCCTACTCTGCTCTGTCTACGCAAATGCTAGTAGCATTTGTGTAGGCAGAGTAGAGTAGGACTGGCCATAGAGGGATTACTTTGACTCAGTTGTCCATCTTAAACATGTATTGCAATATGTGTGAAACAAATATTCCTATTCTTTATTGCACAGTCTGCTGGAAAGGGTATATATCAGTGTGCAGAGGGTCCTTCAGATTTCTACAATTAGAATTAATGGCAGGTCCCGCATTCCTCTGTGTACGTGGTGCAGAAACAAGCATTTGCGCGGGTCCCGCAGCGGCACGACCTCAGATGTGAACCGAGGGTAAGGGCTCATTTGTATGAACATCCAGCAGGTGGAAAAAGCAGATAGCTCATCCATGGGTTTACCACCCCCACCCGACTGCCCTAAATACAGAAATGCAGCTGCTCATGGCTGTACACATGCTGCAGCAAAAAATAAAAGGCATGTTGCAATCTATGGGCATTACCATTCAAGTAAATGAGGTTGTGCTGCAGCTCCCCTGCAACCACATACAACGCAGGCAGCTGCAGCACTGTAAGTAGGCATTTTGGGGGTTACAAGAAACTCTTAAAAACCCTCTGAAAAGCGATCCATCGCAGACTGCTTTACAGAAAGGTGACAATAATAGCCCCTGCATGTTTGAGCAAGCCCCTAGGGCTAATTTACATGGGTTTGACTAAGAATTTGGCTTAACTGAATACACTGTAAGTATTTATTAATGTGAACACAAGTTTATCAAATATATTATCAGTAGTATTACTGTTGTTTTTATTCATAGGCTTGTTATTATATGTTGATCAATGCAAAGAAATGCATCCATAAATGTATGGATTTCCTCACAGTGATTAGTTCTAAGTTTAATTTGATTTTCTGCTCCAGGAATAACACAATGTTAGTGGTTGTCAGACAACACCACAGATATCCTGAGGTTTACTAGTATATTTATATGTAGGCTCCCACTCTTTTTTTGAGAAAATATATATTTTCAGATCTTGCTAAAACAGATGCATGTACTTGCACTGATTATATCAGTTAAATTGTAACTAAAGGCAAAAGTTTTTTTCTAGTTTTGGATAGAGTATAGAGGGATTATGTTAGAAATTCTGTATATAGCCCTTCAGAACAGAGAATGCACAATGCTCATGTGCTTTTCTGCTTTACTGCAACAAGGGAAAAGGAAACTTTATGCAAAGAAAACTCAGAGTATTCCACAGACACAGCTACACGCTTATGAACACTGCCATCTACTGGTTTAGGAGTATATCTCTGATGAATACTGATGTAGTTGTTGCACAAAATACATGCCTACTGTATTCCAACACCCCTCACTCAACAACTACCCCGTGTCTTAATCCCATTTCAGATCTCAGTTCTATAAATATCCATGTCTGTAGTTCACTAAGAGATGTCATCTCTTTATCAGCAGCTCTGCTCCACTTTTTTTTTTCCAATGGGTTGGAAGTCTTTGCATCTCATCCCATGAATCTGGCTCTGGTTTTAATGCTACATGATCAACATAGGATAGACATTTGGCTGGGATGCCTTTATTGCTTTTGCTGAATTTCCTGATTGCAGTCTCTTGGGGCCTGGTTTCTTCTTTTACAGTAATTGAATTGTTTGCATTAACTTCAATTTCTGTGGCATTCATGTGATACTGATGTGGAAATTCCCTCAGTTTGAATCATTTGCGTTAGACCATGAAATTTTGAAAAAACTGACGGTTCATCAACAATTACACTTCTACTGATGGTTACCTTGTTTAGAATGCTGTATCCCTTTAGAGATTCACTGTACACCAGAAGTACACCTTCCTTTGCGCAAGCATCCCATTTTGTACATTTTTCTTTTGGGATGTGCACATATGCTTTGCTTTCAAACCATTTTAGATGGTTCCAATTCAGGGCCTCTCTATTCCACAGTTGATTTTGGAGATAGATTGTGGTCATAATTGCCTTCCCCCAGTATGTGGTTGGTATATCTGCATCAAACAGCATGGTTCTTTCCCTCTCACATAGAGTATGATTCTTTCTTTCTGCAAACCTTGTTTTGTTCTGGGTTGTATTGAACAATAGTTTGAAATATTATGCCATGCTCTCTGAGAAATGCCTGTGTGTTATCACCTGTATATTCAGTTCCATTGTTTGTGCACAAAGTACTCTGCATTTTGCCATATTTGTTGCTTACTTGAGCCAAATACTGTTCAAGTTTCTCTGGGACTTCACTTTTGTTGCATAATAGATATAGTGCAGTGTATCTGGAGTAATCGACTATAAAAGTGAGACATTGCTTCTTCTTTCCTGGAGTAACTTTTTCCATTGGACAGCAGAGATCTGAATTAATTAAGTCCAGAGGTTTTTTTTTGTAGCTCTGCTGTTACTCTGCTTGGGAAAGGCTTTTATGTCATTTTCCTTTTATACAGCTGGTGCATTTCATTGTTTGATCACATGGACTCATTTTTATTCCACTTGCATTATCATTTTCAGTTAATTTCCTAATTATGTCAGGCCTTCTGTGTCCAAGTCATCTGTACCATGTGTGAATGCAGTTTGCATTTTAGCCTTCGTGAGTAAGATATCCCCTTTTGTGATGGCACAGCTGTCACATTGAAAGGTCACTACATCACCTTGTTTTGTGAGCTTATTTACTGACAAAAATTAGTTTCAAGAGCAGGGACATATAGGACATTTTTCACAGGTATCTTTATGGTGACACTCCGGAAAATAGGACAGTAAAGAAAACCATCTCCAATTCCATCTGATTCCATTATTTGCACATTGCCTGGGGTGACTTTTTTCTGTTTTGCTCTTGTGAAGGTGAATAAAGACATTTCTGTTATTTGCCATGTGACTCATAGCTCCTGAATCAACACACCATTCTTGAAAAGATCAGGTGCAACTTTTGGATTGAAAAACATATGTTTATTATCTCAAGAAAAAATTGTTTCTTCCTGCACACTTTTGGCCTTTTGTAGTTTAGTTTGTTTTTGCACTCTAGCTTTCCAAATTCTGCAATCTGCTTTTAAATGACCTTATTTCTTGAACACAAAGCATTCACATGTTTTTTTTTTCACTGTTTTTATTCCTATTTTTGTTTTTAAAGCAGACTCTGCGATAGAAGCTCCGTCATTATTAATGCTTTCTGTTTTACGCTTATATTCATCCATAAGTTTGCCCTTAACCACTTGCCTACCAGGCACTTATACCCCCTTATTTACCAGGCCAATTTTCAGCTTTCAGCGCTGCCGCACTTTGATTGACAATTGCGCGGTCATGCAACATTGTACCCATATGAAATTTTGATCATTTTTTTCTCACAAATAGAGCTTTCTTTTTGGTGGTATTTAATCGCCACTGGCCGCTTTACTTTTTGCGGTATAAATAAAAAAAGTGCAAAAAATTTGAAAAAAAAAAAAAGTTTCTTTGTTTCTATTATAAAATTTTTCAAACAGGTAATTTTTCTCCTTCACTGATGTGCGTTGATGAGGCAGCACTGATGGGCACTGATAGGCGGCACTGATGGGCACTGATAGGCAGCACTAAAGGGCACTGATAGGCAGTACTAATGAGGTGGCACGGATAGGCGGCACTGATAGACAGCACTAATGAGGTGTCACGGATAGGCGGCACTAATATGCAGCACTGATAGGCGGCACTGATAGGTGACACTGATGATGGGTACTGATAGACGGCACTGACTGGCATCACTGCTGGGCACTGACTGGTGGCACTGACTGGCAGCACTGCTGGGCTGCACTGGTGGGCGGCACTGGTGGGCAGCACTGGTGGGTGGGCACAGGTGGGTGGCACTGGTGGGCACAGGTGGGTGGGCACAGGTGGGTGGCACTGCTGGGCACAGGTAGGTGGCACTTCTGGGCACAGGTGTGTGACACTGCAGAGTGGCACAGGTGGGTGCACTGCTGGGCACAGGTGGGTGCACTGCTGGGCACAGGTGGGTGATCTGCTGGGCACAGGTGGGCGGAGCTAGTGGGCGCACTGCTGGGCACAGGTGGGCGGAACTTGCGGGTGGCACTGCTGGGCACCGATCATCAGGGCACTGATCATCAGTGCCCTGATGATCGGTGCCGATCCCCGCTCTGACAACTGCCGGTTCTCGGTAGTACTTTCCTCACGATCTGACAGCGTGAGGAAAGTGCAGCCGAGAACCGGCACTTGCATTTCCCTCTGATCAGCGTGTCATTGGACACCGCTGATCACGTGGTAAAAGGCCGCTGTGATTGGCCTTTTACCACAACACGTGATCAGCTGTGTCCGTAGGACACAGCGATCACGGAGATCGCCGGGTGCGCGCCCCCTGGGGCGCGCAGGAGAGCGCGTTCTGGGAGTACGTCATATGACGTCCACTCAGAACTGGCCGGCCGCAGTGCAGCTGTCATTCGGCTATCTGCGGTCGGCAACTAGTTAACGTATTCCAATGTCAGTTCATCATCTGGACATGCCTCAAGTGCTGTGACAAGCGTTTGATAACTTTCTGGTAAACCACTAAGTATTAGTGATGTTACATGAAAATCTTTTATTTCTTCTCAAATACCTCTTAAGAGTTCAGCCATTTCCAAGGTGTGTTTTATGTAATCCTGCATATCCTGGTCTTTCATCAGCTTGGCTTAGTATAGCTTTCTAATCAAATACAGTATATTGCTGAGATGAACTCTTTTATGTACCTTCTGCAATCCTTGCCACATTTATTTAGCAGTTTTGCACTTACAGTATATATCATTTGATTATCTTCTATTCTAAGGGAGATTGTGCTCTGAGCATTTTCATCTTGAATTTCCAAGACTGGTAGTTCTGGTTTGTCAGATTTGCAAATGAAAGCTTTGTTGCAGCTGTGTTGCTGGCTATGTTTTTCTGTTCCGTTGCAGTCTTCCTTATGTCGCTGTATCTTGCACTTATGTAGCCAATTATGACTGGGCCCATAACTTGTTGGAAATTCTGTATATAGCCCTACAGAACAGACAGTGCACAGTCCACATCTGCTTTACTGCAACAAGGATACAGGAAACTTTATTCAGAGAAACGACATAAAGTATACTATAGATTCAGCTACAAATTTATAAACACTGCTATCTACTGGTTGAAGAATATATATCTACCTAATACTGATGTAGTTGTTGCACAAAATACATGAACATTGAATTCCAACAGATTAGAACACCTGTTAGTTCTTATTGCAGTCTTTGCCGCCGTTATGGAGATATACCCTCTCTATTGGTCCTGTTTACCATTATCATCAAAAGTGAAAGTAAATGAAAATCCCAAATTTTGGGTTGACATCAGAACAATAACAGAGGGGAAATCTTCCAATGGGCACACTAGTTCTGGTGACCTTTGTGACACACTGTAATTCCCTCACTTTCAAGGGATTTCCTCTTCTTGTTTTGGCTATGGGACAGGAAGTAAAGGGAAATCTCCCCAATGGGACACAGATGGCAAAAAACTGATGGGGGTTATAGCCCTCCCGTAATCTATCAAAAACGATAAAAAAATGTTTTGTCTTTAGTTACACCTTAAATACAGTGAAATATCATTGTAACTCCTGTCATTTTGTAATTGCCCTTCAGGCAAAACTACTCCTTAAAAAGCTGTCTTTTAGTACCATTTTCTTAGCTTTTGTATGCATTTTATTTAATGTGGACCTGAACTAAAATATAGGTTTCCTGTCTCATAGGGCACATTTATAAATGTTAATTGTCTTTTAGCAGTATCCTGATAAATAACTTTTTTTTATTTCCTTTAGTCTCACAATGGATGGAGTGTGCTTTGGTGGTGTCTCTCCTATGCTGCTCACAGAAAGCTTTACCTTAGTACCTGCAGTGCAAGAATCTCTTTGCTTTTGCTTTATTCATTCTGTGTATCTGTTCTACATCCAAATGTTCTGATGCTTCTTAAATATTCCTCCACCAGTCATCAGAGGTGGCAGCTCTGATTTGAGGAAGCAATGTCTTACTCCTCTACCAAGATGGCCACCTCCACACAGAGACACAGAGGTTGATTTACTAAGGACAAATAGACTGTTTGCAAGGGAATTTTCCCCAGAGCTTAGTGAATGAGGTGAAGCTCTGCTGACTTCCATGATACCATCATGTGCAAGTAAAAAAGACAAAAAATCCTCCTGCACTCTTATGTTAGACAGAAAGATATATAAATATTAAAAAGCAGCTAGCATCCTACCCTGTACCATATAGGTCTTGAATCACATAAACATAATAATGATGCAGCGCTAATTAAAAATAATGCGCAAGTAATTTTTTTTTTATTTTCCTTGCATGCGATTAGTTTTTCTTTGCAAAGTGAATCTTCATCAAATTTACTTGTTTCACAAAAGTTCTGGGGAAATTCCCGTGAACAACCTATTTGCCTTTAGTAAATCAAACCCCACAGCATGCAATAAGGCATAGTAAGTCAGTAGAAGGGAAAAGATTAGCTGCGGGGAACCTGCTGGCAATACTGGTTACTAGTGCATTTCCATTCACTTTTCTTCTTCATTTCAGCCCTTTTTAAAGGTTTAAAGCCTAACTCCACATTTAATGTCCATTTAAAGAGTGTATTTGTGTCAAGGTGGCTCAAATGAACTATTTACTGCATTAACAGGTGTGCCTGCTGGGTGCACTGTATTACCTGTATGTATGATCAGCTACATACAGTACGCAATGTGGTGTTTTCCCTCAGCAGGTTGGGAAAGTGTCATCGAACTCAGAGTCTGAGTGCTGCTATCAACTAAGGGTATAAAAACACAGGTAACAAGGCAATGTGAACAATCTGACAATTACCTGCAATGATCTGATCTAGTTGTCTAGTAGTAAACAAGAATTTACGATGCTTGGAAGCACTCAGTGTATGCACAGGAACATTTATGTTACATTGCATCAACCCATGAATTTTCTATGGAAGGCATGTGTCATGTCCTCAACCAAGTGGGAAAGAAGGTTGCAGGATGGGCAATTATTTTTTTCACCTGTTGTTGTAGGTGAGACACCAGCCTAAAATGGGTTAGGTTGCAAAGACCTCAATGAGCAGGTGTATCTGTATGAGGTTTTTGACACATCATTTTACATAAAGTAATTATGCAATCATACAGGCTAGTTTACTTCTATGACTAAGCATATCCACTGCTTTTGCTTGTCTTCGTGATTTTCTAAAGCTGTACAACAGGGCTGCAATGAATCTTGTGAAAAGGTCTCGGAAGCCTTTGACTAGGAGACATAATGGTTTCATAAAAATAATTTTTTTATATATACTATAAAATATATATACTGCTAGGTTTGGGTTTCATTTCCATTATTCCGTGTTTGAAGATTTTTGATAAGATCCTTATTCATTGGTTGATTTTTGTAGTTTTAACAGAACACCTGGCATCCAGAATTATTCATAGCTAGTAAAGATACCCTCTTGACCAAGTAGAAATGTCCTACTTGCAAGTTGTACTACTATTGTAGGCAGTTAATTAAAATGTAATTCCAGTTAATCATAAGGCTAAACCTACCATTACCCTCATTCTAAGACAATTCTATCTACCCTGTGAAAGAAAAGATATCTATACTTACTTATTCTGAAGTCGTTCCAGATTGGTCACATGTTTGGGTCCAACCATCAGCTTTAGTGTAGAGGAGGGACAGTGGACAACAGCTGCCCCATAGTAAGTCACAGGCTCTGCAGCCATTTTCTCTGCCTCTCCTCTACACTGTGACCGAATTAGAGTGGCTTCAGAATAGGTAAGTACAGGCATAATTTCTTTCACAGGGTAGAATGCAGGTGGAAATAGGTTTAGCCTTGGTTAGAATTCAACTGAAATTACACTTTAAGATAAGACAGTGAGATAACAATCTATTTAAAATAAAGTTGTTAGTCTAATCATAAGACAATAGGTAATGGTCATAGAATGTATCAATGGTTATAAGATTAGTTATACAAGAATAGGTATGTAAGTGACTGAAAAACTGCATCAAGTTGTCAATGTTTTGAGCTTCATCAATTGACCTTGTGTACAGTAAATGATAAGCAAGGCTAAGCAAGAATGTAGGTGTGATCTACTGAAACTAGCACTACCCCTTTTCAAACTTTGAATGATCTTGATCTGCATAGTCAAGGTCCATACCAGAATCTTCCTTGTCAGGCTGTGTGCATTATTTCAAGGCGCATGACTCCACAATGCATTCTTCCTAGATGTATGACCCTGCTAATTGCTGAACTATATAGAGCACCGTGAATGTGTTATGGTTGCCTAAGCCCTGGTTCACACTGGATCTGACTTTGAAATCGTGGGACTTCACTTGAAGTCATATGATTTCAAAGTTGGATGGCAATGGGACTTGGGGTGTGACTTGACAGACATCTGAGAGACTTCATACACAGATGTCTATGCAAGTCGCACCCCAAATCGGCAAAAATAGGGCAGTAACTACTTGTTTAAATGGTGCAATACTGACTCACCGATTAGAACAGTTCCATTGCCTATCATTGCATGCGATTTGTCATGCAATTTGAACTGTCAAATCACTTGACACTTCGCATCAGTGTGAACCAGGGCTAATAGGTCTTAAATTTCAGCATACCGAAAATTGATATAATTGTACAGTATATACTGTATATTCCAGCAGAGTGGCTTATTTTTCTTGAGAAGGAATTTTTGTTTGTTTAAGCGTTCCTCAATATCTAACAGCAGGCTTCCAGCTAATGAGGGTGATTTTGTGGTACAATAACAGATAGTTTAATGAAGCTTCCAAATCCTCAAGAACCATTTCAAACCATTAAAAAAATTAATTTATCCTTCCCCGTTGCCCCTAAATTCATAAATTATGCCTTTCCTGGCCTTAGCCAAATAACTATAACTTGAAAAATTATCAACTCTCGTCAGTAGGGCATACCCAAGGTCCACAAACTGAAGATGTAAATGCAACACAACTTAAAACTACACAAATGGATCATTGAAAATCTGTATTTTGGTGTCTGCTGACTCTTGACAGGTGATACTAAAGATTCACACTCAACCGTTACAGATAAAAGCCCAAATTCAGACCTAGATTATTATTATTATTATTAATAATAATAATACATTTTTTTTACAAATGTACAGTTTACCTATTACATATGTTTACTGTTTTATTTGTCAAAAAATGTGTAATTCTAGCCTATATACTGTTTTCTTGAGTCAGCAATTTAGCTTTCTGTGTCCATTTTCCTTCTGTAGCTCATTCATTGGATAATCAATCAGTATCATTGCTT